CGCGCTGCTATGGGTACCGACCCCTGCTCCCGCCTGCCTCGACCACCGCTCGAGCCGTCTGCGACTTCCCAGCCCACCAGACCATCTTGCCCTTCCCTAATCCCAATCGAAGAGTTTGCCGCGGTGACTCCTCACCCCCGCCGCCGGCACCACCATCAGGGCAGGCGGCGGCGCTGCCTCGCTTGCCGCCCCTCAACCCTCCACCACCATCGTGCCGGCCTCCGCCGCCAGGCCCTTCCCTTTCTAAGCCCGCCAGCCGTGGAGGGCTCCCCTGAAAACCCTAACCGCCACTTGCCACCGCCTCCTCCTCCTCCACCGCCCTGGCCCGTGGTGAACTTGCCGCTGGCCATCCCACCCACCGCCCACCCCCTCCCCCTTCAGATTTTGCCGCCATCCTCGTGCGTGCGTTGCTTGGGGTAGAGAAGCACGCGTGTCGAATAAGAATTTGGCCCTAACTCTCTTGCAGTCACCATGTTGATTGTGAACAGAAAAAAATGAAAAAAGTTCAGATTGGGGACGACCTCACTGTGGTTTGGCATTGACGACCCTCTTCTTGGTCCCATGACCACTGCGCCTGCCTCACAGTCGCAGGTTTCAGTCCGATCGCTTTGGATACTCCACCGAGGCTCTCCTTGCTCTGGGGCGGCGCGTGCTTGAAGGAATCACTGGCGGTGGCAGACTCGAATCTTCAACCGGCGCGACAAAAACCAAGAGACCAAAGGATTATTATTCATTATCCAAAGAGTAAAGGTTAGAGTCAGATTTGTATCTGACTGGTGATTTCCCATCTGGAATTCTAGATCTAGCTATCTTACTGCATCGTTAGTAGAAATCTTATATGTTGGATCTCTAGAGATTAAGTGTTCAGCGCTTCCAAGTTGCAACTGCACTGAACTCTACTAACTCAGTTGGTGCTACAGTTCTTTTTATACTATCTAAAACTGAAATCCTTGTTTGTAGTGTTCTATCTGTTAGTACAGCTGTGCAGGAGATTTTCTTTTATATATACTGCTGTTAGCTGAGGTTTTACATCCATATGTTATTAGATGTTTACAGTCTTTGGTCAGTTAGCACAGAAGATTTTACTTGATAAGAGAAATCCTTCTGTGTACCTTTGCATCTGATGTTTGATACTAATTTGATTGTAGATCCCCTGCCTTGCCCTCGAAAGTGGGATAAAAGGGGCGGCAGCTTTCGGTCGAACACTAATCACAATTCCTGGTGGAACTTAGGTCATGGCGGAAATTATCATTTACAGATGCAGAGAAATAGATTTCCATGGGGTGAAAAAAAAATTCTATACCCACAGGCTGGACATCCGCTTACTGCCCTCCTGGCTCTTGGTATGTATAATTATATTTGTAGGGTGTTTGGGCGATGAAGCTGACTCACATCCAGATTTCAATAGATTAGGTCTGGGAATTTTTAAAATCCAATGATTTCTTTTGTGCGTTGGAAGGCGTATCAGCACTAATTGATTTCTTTTGTGTTTTTGGATATGTCGTTTGGGCGACGAAAAGGGATCAATGGACTCAGATCTGAGATTAATAGATTAGGGTTGGGAATTTTAATATCCGATGTTTTTTTCTGTACGTTGGAAGGCATATCAGCACCGATTGATTTCTTGGTTGGTTTTCGGATAAGGAGAGTGTTCTGGAATTTATAGATTTGGAATAAGATTAGAAATTATTGATATCGGATTTATTTATTTTTTCACTTTACTTTGTGTTCAGCGAACTGTATGCTATTGAGAGGCAATGTTACAATTTCTGAAGAAGATGATCATGCTTACCCACAGGAGAGTTTGATACTGTGCATGCGACGCAGTTACCGTATGAAGCACAGGGTTGGTTTGGTCTATTCGTAGCCTCATATTTTTCAAGTGTCAATAAGTATGTTTATTTTTAATTGCTTGTGTTCTTTGTGAACTTCACAGGCTCTTGGTGGTGACGCATTTATCACCAAACAGCAAATGGATGATTCAGTTAGTTTATTGGCTGGTCTCATTGACATTGACCTTGATTTTACCAGGCAAGCGCTGTATTTGTTGGTCAGTGATTATGTGAATATTACATCTACTCTTTTGACATAGTTTCCGTGCATGTGTTGCAGCAATGTTCATATTCAAAGCGATACTGTTACTCTTGATATGTTTCAGCATGTGGGATTCCAATTATTACATTGTTGGCTTATACACCCTGATGTATGTTTTTGAGTTTAGATTGTTTGTCCGTAAAGTTCTCTAGCTTTTTCTTCAATATATATGCTAACTTTTTCTTCAATATATATGCTGTTATGCTATTGTTCATTTCAGGATACTGTTATTGCTGGTATTGTTGGAAATGATTATCATCATGTATTTAGAGCTGCAGATCCCGGTGCCCTACCAGTTAATGACCAAAATGCAGGTATCTGAATTTGATTGTTTTTTATGTTTGTATAAATCAATAATATATTTAGTTTTGTATGTTGAACTGATGTCTAATTTTTTTTTTCTTATAGACCCATTGGTACTGAGCTTTCTGGGTGCAGGGTTGACGCCTTTTGGGTAATGTTAAGTACTATCGGGAATGTGCATCAATGTTATTTTTATATTAATTTGTGTGGGCATTTCTTTCTTCAATCATTGCAGCATACAGGTTCTACATAACTTCACATTGGAAGGTCAAATCTTTGCTTTATTCTGGAATGGATTCTTCCATACCTTGACTAAGGTACATGCTAATCTGCGCTGTCATCTTGTGATACTAAAACAATATGTGCTGCTTTTGTCTGTAATCCTTTTCCATGTAGCACAATGGGACATTGTTCGCACTCAACAATGATATAAAAGCTTTCTCCAATGACATGTTATGGAAGGAGTTCAATGTATGTTCTATTTTTTTTGGTTATATATACTTGTTTGTTGATCGAAACTGTATTTTAGCCATCACTGACCCCCCTTCTTTTCCTCATGGTTTCTGCATGACAATTGGTGACCAACAGGTACTTGATGATGTTCAGTTTTGTAACAACAGTTTTGTGCCAGTACCAGTTGTTGAAAATCAAGCTGAGGATGCAGTTGTTCAAAATGCTCACCCAGAAGTTCCTAGCCAATCAGCACAGGCAGGTTTGAAAGTAAGAGTGTACAAATGCAAGAGGCATAATTGTCAAGCAGAATTTTTATCTACGGTGAACTTGAACCGACATGACCAAGTTCATGGAAGAGATCTCAAAATGAAAATGGTTATGCTTCCTTCTTATAGCAGCTTCATGCTGCCTCCCTAATATGAGCTTGTTTCTTATTTTTGTCAACTCAGTTGACACCTCTTTGCTGACGTTTTTAGGTTTCTTTCAGTAAAGCTGATCTCAGTAAACATTGGGATGAGGTAATCAATTCCTAACATTTATTGCTATGGCTTACTCGGGTCTAGAAGTAATTCCATATAAACAAATCCTGAATCTTGAAATTGTTTCTTATCCTCTTCAGTTGAGCCATGAGGAGGCTGGTAAGATTCTTTCAATTGAAGACATGAAAATAAAGGTAATTATAAATTATTAATACTAATTTTCTGTAGAGAACATTGTGAAAACAATTTAAAATTATGATAAAAGATGCAAATTTTCAGGACATATCTGGTAGTGTACGTCACCGGATAATTGAAAAAATTGGAGCTGAAGATGAATTTTACAACAGAATTAATAGAATGAAGGTATTTATTTTTCAACTAGTTCCTTTCATTCACATGAACATATATGAACTTTCTTTCTTTTTTTCTTTTTTGCGTTGCAGGTTGTTTTGGATGGCACTGAAAAAATGTCATCAGATGAGCTGTTCACTGTTCTTGATGAAGGCAGTGAGAAAACAGCCTTTTCCACTGATGTATGTCGTTGTCCTGAGAAGGTCATATTTGGTTTGGGGATGTTTGGCGAGCTGCTGCTACTTCGTGGAGAGAAATCTGGTAGGTTTAAGTTTCATATAAGCAAAGACGTATTACATATCTCTGACATTGAACACAATACAGGTTTCTTGTTGGCTTGATTATAAAACTGCTGAAGCCACAAGGCATGCGACAGCTTTTCTTGCACAAGAGCGGGAGGAAAACAGTCGTTTGTGTGGAAAGTCAAGCTGTACAATGACATTCACCTCGAAAATTAATTTCAATAGACATGGACTTAGTCATATGGAAACAGATCCCATGGTTTGTATATTCTTTAATTCTTATATGTCCTTAATGCTCCGTTCATCTTACCATGCCTGATTTTTTTTTCCAACCCATTGCTAATGCTCTGTAGGATTTTATGGAGAGGCTACGGGAGCCTATGAGGCTCAATCTCACTATATGGGATGGTAGTAGATTTGTTAAGCTATTTTCTAGATATACAACTAAATACATTTTAAAGATAGAACGGCGATTAGAACGGCTATGTTGCATGGAGCAGAATGTTAGGCTTATAAAGATTCGACATGTTCAACAACTGAGTGCTGTAGAAATGCGTATATTGCGATGGATTTGTGGTCACACGAGAATGGACCGAGTTCGGAACGATGATATACGTGATCGTCTAAAGGTAGCATCAATTAAAGAAAAGCTTGTTCAACATTAGTTGAGGTGGTTTGGCCATGTCCAAAGGAAACATCCAAAGGCACCAGTGCATCGTGGAGTCCTAAGCCAGGCTAATAATATGATGAGAGATAGAGAAAAACCGAAATTGACATGGAAGAGGCAATAAAGAGAGATTTGAAAGCTTGGGATATACCTAGAGATTTATGTTTGAATATGAGTACTTGGAAAGCAGCTATTGAAGTACCTGAACCGTGACTTAGGGCTCTTGGTGGGTTTCAACTCTAGTCTACCGTAACTTGCTTGAGACTGAAATGCTATGTTGTTGTTGTTGTACAATAGTACCATACAAAAGAGAAAAAAACTTTGAATATGCATGGAGAAACATACGGAATAATTACTAGTAGCCTAATTTCAGAGAGATTACAGAGTATGTATATGGATTTGAATAGTCCATCATAATGAGCATCCTCTAGTAGAACGCAATGCTCGGATCACCGGATGGCAAATACTTGGTACCATCAAGTCCTTAAGGCAAATGAACGTGCTGTACGACCTGATTTTTCTTGCTAAAGATGCGTGATAATCTGGCAAAGACAAGGACATCATTGGACAACCATGGACGCAGTAAGTAATTTTTGAGGACAATGGTAGCGGCGGTCGCTTTTTGTTTTCAATCCAGTCCACGAATGAGGCCTGGAGCTGGGCAGGCGCGTGCAGAATCCAAGAGCTCAAGAACTCACTGGTCTCACTTGTCCATGGGTGCAACACCTTCTTGAACCGACTTTGTTTCTGATTTTTTCCACCTCTGTCTCTCCGACCTGAAGGTATGGGCGGCCATGGGGTCTTCTTTGCCTGAAGGTATGAGCTTCCATGCTTGGAATTCCACAGCATCTGATATGAGGTAGCTGCAACATTTCCGCCAAGGCAATCTTTCGCCTTTGGTAGCATGATCTCACCCAGCTGCTCAAAATAAATGTTTGCATACAAGCCGCATGGTGCTACCTCTCTGTTTATCATCTCTGTTGCTGAACCTCCAACTGCAGGCAACATATCTTCAGAAGAGGCATGAGGCCACAAGTGCCCCCCAAGTTTTAGAAATGAAGATCCTCTCATGGGGCACATTTCTCTATTGACGACTGCACTCTGTCTGTTGTCCCCAGCTAACAGTGCGACTTGGCCCAGCAAATGAACTTGAGTAACTGGTTCTAAGTATACATCACATGGCAATGGCTGTAATGACAAGCTTCTCCTACTAGCATCGTAGCGAAGGTCTTTTTGCTGACAACAAAGCGGGTTGGGTCGAAACCACTTATAACGGATGGTGTGTTGCCATCTTCAAGTAAGAATATTAGCATTCCCTCCATCCCATGCTCCGGTAGACTAAACGGCTGTAAAAGGAACGAAAGATGTTGACCCCATGAACAGAGCAATGCTGAAAGCATCTAGGCCCCTAGTTGAGTTTCAGTGATTAATGACAATACGAGATTACTGTGACTAACGTGTGTTTTGCAGAGAAAATTAAGTTAGGTCATGGTAATGACAATTGATTGGGCAATCATGGTTGTCATGCACCTACGATGAAAATCGTTTTGGATTTCAAAGGATGGACAACAAGGTTAAGGATGGATTAGTTCTAAGTGTCGTTTGGTGTTGAAGAGACACTTAGAGTAGTTTAGGACTTTGTTTTTTCTTTGGCCGTACTATTAAGGGGGTATTGACTAGTAGCTTGACCTATATGAGTCTAGTGGGTTAGATGTGGTGCACACTTATCAAATCTAGAAATAGGTAGCTCAGGAGTAGCCCTAAGATCAATTGGAGCAAACTTCATTCACATATGATTTCGAGTTGAAAGTGAATGGAGGGTCAAATGACTGACCAGACGCTGGTCTGGTTGTGACCGGACGCTGAAGGGTGAGTCCGGTCAGTTCATTTGATCAACTAGAGCTGTCTGGATGCGACCGGACGCTGAGTGAAAAGTGACCGAACGCTGGGTGCTAGAGTCCAGTCAACTCCAGAGAGGTTCCAGAGAGGGAGATTCCTGATCGGACGCGTCCGGTCAGTGCTGACCGGACGCTGACCAGGATCCGGTTACTGACCGGACGCTGAACAGCGAAGTCACCCGACTCTGGGTTCCAGCATCCAGTCAACATTAGTAAAGTTTCAGAGAGCAGTTTTCGTGACCAGACGCAGGTCAGAGTCCGGTCGGCTCTATGGCGGGGATAATTGACCGGAGCGTCCAGTCACCTAGACCGGAGCGTCTAGTCACCCCGTAGAGTGCTGACTCAACCTCCTAACGGTTTGTTTTGAATGAGGGCGTATAAATACTTCCTCTATTCATCTAAGGGAGGTCTCTTGCCCATTTGTTCAGCTAAGAAACACCCTTGATAGTGCTAAGGAGAGCAAGAGGCTAGTGTGGTGATTGAGATTCGAGAATCCAAGATTAAGGCCTCATTAGTGCAAGGAGAGTAGCAAGTGTGCATCCACCCTTCTCATTGGGTTTGTTGTGGTCAAGTGAGAGTTCGTGCTTGTTACTCTTGGTGATCGCCATCACCTAGATGGTTTGGTGGTGATCGGGAGTTTGGTGATCATCCGGAGCTTGTGGATGACCCAATTCAAGTTGTGAGCGGTTGTGGGTGATTCACCACGACGGAATATCGAAGAATCAGCCCGTAGAGAGCACTTGATCCTTGCGCGGATCAAGGGGGAGCTACACCCTTGCGCGGGTGCTCGAACGAGGACTAGTGGGGAGTGGCGACTCTCCGATACCTTGGCAAAACATCACCGCGTTCCTTCTTCTCTCTTTAGTTTAAGCATTTATATTTGAGCAATTCAATTCTTGTCTTTACATTCCTAGAATTGTCATGCTAGAGTAGGATTGGAACTTATGTTGCAAAACTTTTATGCGGTATAACATTAGAAACACATTTTAGGCACAAGGGGTGAAGTGGGCTAAGTGTAGGATTTAATTATTGCAAAAAATTTTAGAATTAGCCCAATTCACCCCCTCTTGGGCATCTTGATCCTTTCAATTGGTATCGGAGCCTCGTGCTAACAAATTTAGGCTTAACTGCCTAGAAAAAGATATCCCACGGAGATGGACCTCCTCCTATCTTTGAGGGAGATGATTTTCCTTATTGGAAAATCCGCATGGAGGCTTACTTAGAAGCTTTAGATGTTGGAATTCTTAGAGCCGCCTCTCAAGATTTCCCAAAACCTAAGGATCCCATCAACCTTCAAGGCGATGAAGTAAATTACCAAAAATAAAATGCAAAGGCTAGAAACACCATCTTTAGAGGCATTTGCAAAGATGTGTTTAATCATGTGCGGAACCACAAGGACACCCATGCACTATGGCCAGACATTTGTGCGCTCCATGAGAGAACAAAGAGTGAGCGTGAGGAACGCTATCATCTCGTCATGAAAAAACTTAATTCTTTTGAGATGCTTCCTAAAGAAAGTGCTAATGAGATGTACTCACGCTTAAATGTTCTTGTAGAGAAAGTCAATGGGCTCGGACTTACATAAATGCAACCATCCGATGTTGTAAGAAAGATCTTGACTGCCCTCCCCATTGACAAATATGGGCACATTGTGACCGTGCTTCATCAAGGTGATCTTTCTACCGCTACACCAACTCAAATCTTGGGAAAGATCAATGCACATGAGATGTATATGCACATCACACCGCAAGATGGCTCTTCTTCCACCAAGAAGAAAGACTTGGCATTCAAGGCTAGCCAAGAGAAGGGCAAAGCAAGAGTTGAATATGAGAACTCAAGTAATGATGAAATTGATGATGCAAGTCTTGCTCTCATGGTGAGAAGAACCGCCAAGATGCTTAAGAAGCTCAACAAGAACGGTGTCAAGTTTGATGGCAAAAAGAAGAAGTTCTTCACTAGCAATAGAAGGAAGCCAATCTCCGAGATGGATTGCTATAATTGTAGAGAACTTGGTCATCTAGCACATCAATGCCCCAAGATGACTCAAGTAATGAAGATGAAGATGAGAAGAAGAAAAATAAGCCATATAAGAAGAAGGATTTCCACAAGAAGAAGAAAAATGGTAAGGCATACATCGTCGATGATTGGCTCATGGACATTGATTCATCAAGTTGCTCATCCGATGATGATAGTGAGAACGAGAAGGTGGCCGCTATTGTGATTGACTCTTCATCATCTTCACCGCCACCACCGCCACCATCCTCTACACACCTATGCCTTATGGCCAAGGGTGAACGAAAGGTATCAAATGATGATGATAGTAGTGGTGATGATCATGCTAGCAATGATGATAGTGATATTGATGATGAATTTGAATCACCTTCATATGATGATCTTGTCAAATTGCTAAATCAATACACTAAGATCATTAGAAAGACTAGAGCTAAGAATGAAAAGCTAGAACTTAAGAATGACTCTCTTTTAGCTAAATATGACATAGCAGAAAAAGCTAGTGTTGAGCTTAGAGAAGAAAATGAAGCTATGGCATCCAAACTCAAGGAGCTCAAATCTTCTAAGAAGGAGCTTAAAGAAAAACATGATAAACTTGAGAGGATACATAATGAGCTCATCACTAGCTACAACATGCTAAAAGAAGAATATACAAATCTCAAGATCAATCATGATAATTTTGTTATTTCTTATGAGCTATTATCCAATGAGCCATATGATGCTACTAACCATGTTGTTAAGATTGATATAGCTACATCATGTGATGATTTGATTATTGAGAGCATTGAGCAAGGTTTAGTAGCAAAGGCAAGCAAGTAGTTGAGTCCGATAACTATGATGAGTATGTCAAGATTAAGAATGAGAATGAAAAGCTCAAGAAAGATCTTGAAAAGCTATCAACCACCAACACTATTGTGATAGAGAACCTTGACCATGATAGTGATCTAGCTCTTGAGAATGAGATGCTCAAAGAAGAGAACAAGAGACTAAAGAAGGAGAAAAATCATGATAAACTCAAAGAAGAGAACAACAAGCTCAAGTTAGAAGAAGAACATCTCAAGACCGGCTTGAGCAAGTTTATAAGAGGTCAACATCTCCAAAGTGAGCTACTCATGAACACCGTCATCAAGATAGATAGAAGTGGAATTGGATACTTGGCACATCAAGAGAAGAAGGCTCAAGCTCAACACCAACAACAACACAAGTCAAAGCCAAAGCCAAAGAGGTGTTTTGAGTGTGGACAAGAAGGTCACTTTGCCCATGAGTGTCAAACTCCTCCACCACAACCCTTGCTCAAGCATGCTAGACCTTTTGCTTTCAATGCTCATTACATGCTTAGAAAGGACTCTAATGGAAAAATGAAAGTTATGTTCTTAGGACCTCCCAACAAAAATAGGCCTAAGAAAATTTGGGTTGCAAAGTCACTTGTTGAGAAAGTCAAGGGCCCTCAATAAGTTTGGGTCCCTAAACAAGCTTGATCTCTTATGTGTAGGTGAACTACAAGACCGGTGGAAGTCATTGGGTAATTGATAGTGGTTGCACTCAACATATGACCGATGATCCTCGTATGTTCACCTCACTAGATGAAGAAGTAGATGGCCAAGAAAGAATTACATTTGGTGATAATTCAAAGGGCAAAGTTAAAGGATTGGGCAAAGTGGCAATATCAAATGATCACTTAATCTCAAATGTACTATATGTTGCTTCATTGAGCTTCAACTTGCTATCCGTTGGACAATTGTGTGATCTTGGCTTTCAATGCTTGTTTACCGAGAAGGAAGTGATTGTATCTAAGAAAGATGATGATCAAGTTATATTCAAGGGATTTAGATACAACAACCTATATCTAGTGAATTTCACCTCCAAAGATGCTAACTTAAGAACATGCCTATTCACCAAAACATCACTTGGGTGGCTATGACATAGAAGACTTGCTCATGTTGGGATGAGCTCACTCAAGAAGCTTATGAAGAATGAATTGGTAAGAGGGTTGAAGGATGTGAAATTTGAGAAAGACAAGCTCTGTAGTGCATGTCAAGCCGGCAAACAAGTTGCAAACACTCATCCTACAAAAGCTTTCATGTCAACAACAAGAGTGCTAGAGCTCCTTCACATGGACTTATTTGGACCAACAACTTACAAGAGTTTGAGATGAAATCTTTATTGTCTTGTGATTGTTGATGACTACTCTAGATATACATGGGTGTTCTTCCTTCATGACAAGACCGAGGTTGCATCATGTTTCAAGAAGTTTGCCAAGAGAGCACAAAATGAATTTGAAGTGAAGCTCAAGAAGATAAGGAGTGATAATAGAAAAGAGTTTGACAA